AATTTTTCTAATTATTTTTCTCCCTTTAACTCCACCCTAACCACTTGAAAAAAAAAAGGAAAAGAGAAAAAAGGGGAAAGGGAAAGGAAAAGGGAATCCTTGTAACAAATATGATTAGTCAAGCATGAGAAACTGCCATATTGGCCTTGTCCAAAAATGCGCGTCTCCCTCTGCCTCCGAGTGAGCCGCGGCTCCGGGTCAGCAGGTGCACAACACGTTCGCATGTCCGCTGGAATCCCAGCTGGGCACGGCACTGCCCTCAGCTCTCCTACCTTTGAAGGTTGTCTTGGCAATGTTGTTACTGGGTGAACTGTCCTCTGCTTCTGTCCAAGTCTTCCCAGGTTTCTCTGAATCCAGACTCTTCAACGCTTCTTACAGCACATCAACCATAATCAGCTTAACCAGCTCCCAAAGGATGGGTACCCTCAGTCTCCAATTTTTTGCCACCACAAAAAGAGCTGTTATCATTATTTTTGCACATATGGGTCCTTTTCCTCTTTCTTTGATCTCTCCAGGACAAAAGGTATGGCCAGTTTAGTGGCTTTGGGGGCACAGTTCCAAACTGACTTCCAGAATGACTGGACCGGCTGCAGCTCTACCAATCATGTACTAGTGTGCCTGTTTTCCTACAACCCTTTTAGCATTTGTCATTTCCCCCTTTTTTGTCAATTGAGCCAATCTGATGGGGGTGAGGTGGGACATCACGGTTGTTCTTTAATTATTAGTGTTTTAAAGCATTTTTGCACACGGCTGAAGGTAGCTTAGATATCTTCTTCTGAAAACTGTTCCTGTCTTTCGGCCATCCTGGGATCATTCGCGTGGGGATACCGGGTCCCTACTCTACTCCAGCCCATCATCCTTTCCATCTTCTCACCCTTCTCAAGGCTGCCTTGCAGCACACACTGGGTTCCGGGCAGCTCAGCCCCCTTTCTAGACAGCTAGAGCAGAAGCCAGGGTGTGCCTCAGCACAATGCCCGGCACACAGAAGGTGCTTAATGAGTGCTCGGGGCTCAGAGATGACTGACGTCTCCTCCTTGACACTGCCCTGAGCTTCCCTTTCTCCTCATCTCAAAGCCCCTCCTCCTTTCCTCCCACCTCTGATGACAAGGTGGCCCTTCGTGCCAACCCCTCTGGGGCCCCTGTCCTCCGGCTTCTCGCTCTAAACTCTTCAGCCTCTGTTAACGGCTTCCTGCTGTCTCCATAATGATAGTTAACAGGAGCCAACATTCATGTGCCCAGCACTAGCTACATGCGTTACAATTATTATCGTCTCACTAGGTCCTTACAACAATCCTGGGAGGGGAGCACTATTATTATCCCCATTTTATGGAAGAAGAGACAAGGCAAAGCAAGTCCTAGTTTCGCCCTTCCTTTCAAAAATTTTCAAGAGACTGGTATGCCCTCAGGCTAGCCTTTACCCTCCCTTTCTCAGGCCAAATGCCAGCTGTCCCCACCCACTTCCTTCTCAGCCAGTGGTGGTCTGTCTTGACTCCACATTTACCAAATCTGCTGCACTAGTGAGAGGTCGGTGACTGACAACACCCAACTCAAAGTCGCCTCTTCCAGGAAGTCCTCCTCCCTCCCTCCAGGTAAGAATGGCCCTTCTTTCCAAGACTTCACTCTGCACCTATTTCAGTCAGTACAATGAACAAGTAAGCACTGAAAGTGTCCAAAAAGCCAGGAGGCAAGACGAAGAGGGCACCTGCCCTGCCCGCAGGGAAGCCTGTAATCAACTGGGCAGCTCAGTGCAAGAGACAGAAGGGGCAGAGTTCTCACCAGGGCTGGGGGAGGGCCTGGCGCGTGGCCTGCACATTCTCTCCTCCCCTGAGGACCCCCAGGGCCCTCAACATTCCTGAAGCCCGGGAGTCTCGCTTCAAGGTGAGAAAGAAGTTGGCCAATCCCATAAGCCCAGGGATGGACACCAAAGCCTCATTGGCCAATACCTCCTGGTACCTACAACGTCCACGTAAAAGCCCCAAAGGGACCAACTGACCCTTGACGTTCATCCTTTTCTGAAAAGAAGGGAAAAGCAGCCGCGTCCTGGCCTGGGGGGGCGGGGTGTCCATATTTAACACCAAGGAAACACCCTCTGGGTGGGTGGGATTCTGCACCATGACAGTCTCACCTTCCTGGGAAGAAATGAATAAAATGAATATTCAGCAGGCCCAAGGAAGGGGCCCTGCTGGCAGGGCTTCCTCCTCCCCATCCTCTCCTTCCACAAGCCACCAAAGCTTCTCAGAAGGGGACCCTGGGTGAAAACAGAGGCAGCCAGAGGTCGCAGAATAGAGCCCAAGGGCGCCCAGGCCTCCTCACCAGGCTCAGTGCTGAGGCCCAGGCCTCCAGGCACAGGATAGAAAGGGCTCTGCTGGACCGTCCCCAGGCCTGACCTGGGATGGTGGCTCGGCTGGCAAGCCCTTCTCACATCTGGAAATAAAGTAATAACCGACTCAATGAGCCCCACCTCCACCCCTCGGCCTTCTGTTTATGCTGCAAGAGACCCAAATTAAAGACTGCACTTCTCACTTGTGGGGGAGTGTTGGGTTACCCAACATGGAGACTCTGAATCTGCTATTTGGAAACAAGCTGTGCCCCCAAACAAATTGACCGCGAAATAGAAAACATGCTCATGGACAGATCCTGAGCAAAATCAAGGAAAAATGACTATTAAATGAAAAACAACTCCCATTTCATCATCCCCCGCACTTCTAGAAAACCCGCCCCAAGAGTAAGTCCGACTGCCCTCCCCCTTCCAGCCAGAAGCCCCGACGTCGGACCCTCTGCCTTCCACAGTGAGTCACAAACGGAGGAAGGGTCCGGAAAGAGGGGACCCAGGAGGCAGCGAGGAGGAGGAGATGGGGCTCCCCAACACCACCGGCCGTCATTGCCCTCGGGCATGGCCGGCCAGAGGCTCTCAATGCAACAGGCAGCTGCCCACTCCTGCAGATCTGAGGGCCTGTGCTTAGGCCTTAAGTCACGGGCTCTACAATTGGAAGGTCCAACCTCATCCAGACACAAAGTAGAAGGCTCAGGATTCAAAATGACCTTGCAAAACACCCAACTTCAACAGTTCCAGAACATCTCCCGTGGGGCAGCGTATGGAAGGGTACTGGAGCAGCGTTACGGCCCAGCCCCTGCCTCCTTACCCACAGGCACCACCACAGAACGGGTGAAGGTAGGAGAACACGAGATAACTGAAGCCGCGTCTCCAGGCAGCTGTGGTCCATCCCCACAGAGTCCCGAGCCCATCCAGCCATCTCAGGCTGGACAGAGAAGCCCCCTGCTGGGGCCGGGCCCTGCTTAAGGACCTGCAGAGGCCGACAGAACAGCAATGAGCACCAGCGAAGCCTCGTCTCCTGGACCAGGGGCTGGCGGTCATCCCACTGGCTAGAAGGGTGAGCATGCGTGTGCACATGGGGAAACTGAGGCTAGGAGGTGGGGCCACACTGCGAGTCAGGCCCAGGCCTCTGGACTCCAAGTCCAGACCACTTTCCGCTTGACCCCTGAGCCAATCAGAAAGACATGATAATCCAGTTAGAAAAGTAGCTGACATTTACACAGCGCTCTAATGCCGGCAAAGAAGGCAGCCTCACCACGGCCCATTTTGCGGATGGAAAACTGAGGCCCAGAGGAAGAAAAGCTACATGCTGATGGGATCTTCCCAATATCTCCCAGGGAGCACACAAACCACAAGACCAAGGTGCCCAAAAGAGAGTGGGGGAGGGAGAAAGCAGGGCAGGCTTCCCGGAGGTGGTGGCCACTGAGCCGGGCCTCCAAGGAAAAGGACACGAATAGCAGATATGGAGGTGGAGGCGTCAGGGGAGGGTCAGTGTGGGGCCAGCCCTATGTGAGAAACCTGCCCCTGGCTCCCACCTCCAAGAGACAGGCGCTCTGGGGGATGAGGCAGAGGTCTGTCCAGTAGACTGCCGGCCTGCTGCCTCCGCGGCTGCTTCACCCGCCCCTAAACGTGAGGGTAGACTATCGTGACACCTCTGCTCAGGATGACCCACGCCTCTGTCCCCCATGACAAGCTGCCCCTGAGAAGGCCTGGGCAGTGCCAGGCTTTGGAGCCCCAGAGCCCCGAGGCCCAGGACACAACGATGGGGGTGAGCTGTCCTCGGTTGGCCTGTGCCCAGGGAGGGACCACACCAGGCACAGAGGCCCCCTTCTCCCAGGGCTCTCTGACCGCTGGCCCTGAAGCCTGGAGGCACTGCCCCGCTCCCTTCCTCTCTCTCCATGCCCCGAGGCCAAGAAGAGGCCCAGCCCACGGGAAGCATTTCCTCTAGGGTGAACCAGGCATGAGGCAAGAAAGGACTGAGACCCCCACCCACCCCCAAGGGTCTGCTTGGGTTTGTGGGACTCATAATGGTGCTGCCTTCCTTTACGACCACAGAGACCCGTCCCACTGGGGAAACCCCTCTTCTGTGGGCGGGGGCCAGGGAGGGTGTTCTTTGGTGCTGACCCGTGATCTGGACAGCAGAGGAAATGAGCTGCTCCGTCAGGGGAGCAGAGAAAGGTGACATGAGGCCAGAATGGGAGGATAGAAAAGAAGATACAAAAGGCCTCTGGTCTTGGCCTCAGAAAGCGGCAGCCACAACACCAGGTTATGTCCAGGCCCATGAGCCAGGGGCCCAGTGCCCCGGTCAGACACTGAGCGGCTGGACCGCCTCAGAGAGGCCCTTTCGTTGGGCCCAAGGTTTCTCCTCCACGAATGAGGGGGGGGCTGGAGGGCTGCCGGGTGCTCGCCAGCGTTAGGCAGCATTAGGCCGCCAAAGCACCAGGCTGGGCAGGAGCTGGAGAAGCAGGATTCCACAAGTGGAGTGGACTGCCTTCAGAAACAGCGAGCCGCCCATCCCCAGAGGCCATCGGGCAGCAGGTGACCCTTGCTACAAACATCAGAGGGGTCTTGGCTTGGTCGCAGGTTAGGTTCAGGGGCCCCCGGACCCCTCTGCTCGAGGCTTCGGGGCCCAGTGGGCCAACGGCCCCAGCATGGCGATACCTACGTCCACTCGGACTCTGGCTGCTTCTGGTGGGTCTCGATGACCCTCAGAGCCACGCTCAGGTCCTGGGTCTGTGGGTCCTTCAGCCGTTCGGAGCTCAGGCAGGTAAACAGGATCATGGAGGCGTAGGCGACAACCTTCTTGTCCGGATGGCGGAGGCAGTACCTGGGAGGACACAGGGGATGCCGTGAGCCCAGGCGTGCCGGGCCGACCTGACGGGAGCAGACGTTCCCCTCGTGCTAGCGCACACACGGGAAGTCTCAAAAACAGCGCCAGAACGTATGAGGAGCCTCCTGCCCCGCCCCTGGGTCCTGAGAGCTGAGAGCTAGGATTGGGATCCAGGTCTGCCCAGCCCCGACGCAGGGCCTTTCCTCCACGCGGCCACGAGGGCCTGACATCACGGGGACGTGCCGACCATCCCACAAGGGGCTACACATCAGGAGGGACGCCCCGGGGGACCGGGGGAGGGAGTCAGCAGAGTTCTTGCCAATGCAATGCTGGGCCCTGGGCAGGGGCACGGCCTGACCAACAGATGCTCGGCTGGGGGCCGCCCATCACCCGTCTTTGCCCGGGAGAACGGCCTCTGTCAACCAAGCCTTTCTTCATCAAAAGGTCAGGGCCATAGGTCGGGGGGTCACATTTCTGACACAGACCTGGCTTGCAGAGAGCCGCGTCCAGGCCATCACTGAGGTAAGGCGCTAGTCGGCCACTCAATGATGCCATCTGAGAGAAGCGGCCCGTCATGGGGGGTAGCCCACGTTCAGACTGACACGCCCCTTGACCCCCAAACAACGCACTCACAAGAAGAGATCCGGGAAGGCGTCCCTCCACACGACCCGCTGCGAAGCCTCATTCCCGGCTGCAACGTTTCCCAGGAACTGCAGGCCGCAGCGAATAGCTGACAAGACACAGGACAGACCATGAGAGAACGCGAGGGAAGATGGCAGGTCTGCTGGTCTGAATCCGCCTGGGGTGACCGTGGTGAAGTGAGTGGTTGTCAGGCTCACTCATGGAGCCAGGGATAGACCTCCCCCTGCCCCCCATGTCATCCTCCCCTCCCCGCCCCCCACGTCATCCTCCCCTCCCCCTGTCCCCCCACGTCATTCTCCTCTCCTCCTCCTGTCCTCACCCTCATCCCAATCCTCCTCCTCCTCAAGGGGCTCTTTCTATAATGCAGCCTCTGATGAGCTGTAGACAGTAAGAAGGCTCATACCACTCCTTCAGCAAAGCTAACTTCCTAAAACACGCAGTTAATAGCTCCTCCGACACCACCTTGAAAAGCCAGTGGCTGGCATCCTGGAAGGCCATTTGAAGCTTCTCCCCGCCCCAGGCCCTCCCTTCGTGCCACTCCCCCCTCACACCAGCCCCCCAGTTCTTCCTTGGGGGACCAAGGAGAGCCAGTCCGATTTCTCCCTCACGATGCAAAGGACCTGAGGCAGGGCCCTCCACGGCTCCTCCTAGGGAATGCTCTTGGGTGCCCGGCCCCTTGCCCGCTGCTGTCCTGACGGCCCTGCCTGGTCCCTACTCAAACATGGGCCCTCAGCTCTAAAGGCCGGCCTCCCAGTGTGGTCTGACTAGTGGGCCTGCTGACCCAGCCTCTCTCTGCGCAGGCCAAGCTAGCCTCCTTGATGTGGGCTGCCCACATCCTTGGGAGGGAGGACAACTGGACAGACACAGATCGTGGGGGCCGTTACTGATATTTGCCGTTGCTCCCCCCTCCCTGGCACACCACACAGAGGCACAGTGAGGGACACAGAGCGCGTTGTGATGGGGGGACGTTTTGAACTGAATGACCACACTGGCTGATCGGCTGGTGAAACAGCAAGCTTGGAAACATACAAACACCAGACTGCAGTAGACCAGGGATGCCGGGAGATGACCCCACCCAGCCCCCTCACTGCAGAGGGTCCGAGGGGGAACGACTAGGCCAAGGGGAGGTGGGGACAAAGATCAGAATCCCCTCCCTGGCAGCTGGACGTTCCCTGGGGGCTCCTGAGGGGGCAAACAAGAGCCCGCTGGACCTTTTGGTTTAAGACAAACTTTTCTGTCTACAGTTTTCATGACTGGCATCCAGAGCCATGGCTCAGGGGATTAAGCTGAGTCAGCCGCTCTGGACATCCACCACCATGGGCATGTTGAATGTCGAACACAGAGCAAAGGCCTCCCTCCAATGGGGTCCCCGGGGGCCCCCACATTAGGGGCAGCGCTGCTCTGGCCAATGCCTCTCTGACTGGGGTAGCACTACCTGGAAGAAGCAGCTCAGGTACCCACCTGGCAGCCGGTCAGCAAGCATTTATGAGGCGCTTACTGTATGTAACGCGCTGAGCTAGCCGCCGGGGACACGGATACAAGCGCACTCACACACGCCCTGGCAGAGGCCCACGGCCAACAGTAACACAATCAGACCCCTGGCTTCACTGGGCGTGTGCTCCATGCAGGAGGCACCTACTTACTGCTGTATTAAGCACCAGGGGTACAAAGAGAGGCGGACCACCCATACGCTTTGGCCAGAGAAGGCCTTGTGCTCGGGCCCACAGGCACAAGAGCGAAACCCGGAGCTTACAGCTTCACAGGAGGCATGTCATTTGTACAAAGAAAAGCACATGAGATAGAGTGGCACAAAGCAAAGAAGACACGAAGGCCTCAGTTTCCTCTTCTGTCCAATGAGGGGCCTGGGCTGGAGGCTGTCCCAGTTCTAGCCCGACTGACCCTCTGATGCTGATGACTCACTGGCCCACGCTTCAGGCCTCCACGGTGGGCTTAGCCGACCTCCCTACCGTTGGGGATGGGCAGCATCTTGGCTGGCCAGGCTGTAGCCCCAGGGCTGAGCAGAACAGCTCACCGCAGATGAGGTCCGGCACTCTAGTTTCCCTCCTCCTCCTCCCCTCCGAGAACCTGCCCACTCCCACCCCCACTCTCAGAATGATTGCCAGTGAGTAGACTGCTTGTCCCTACCATCTCTGGGAAATGTGAGCACAGATGTATCTGGCGGGTTCTGTTACATGCTCTCCACCTGGATGGTAAACGGTGCAGCAAACAGAAAATGTGGAGGAGGCCCAAGCCTCCGCCACAGGTGTCTGCCCACTCTCCTGCCCACCACAGGCCTGCTGCCCCCAGAAGGAGTGCCACTGATCCATCTCTACTTTTGGTGGCAGCCTAAGTGGTCACTTTTTCATTTAAAGCTAATATCAGGGAAGGTCAACGGTTTGGTTTCTTCTTTGAATAATTTTTTTTTCCATGCTCTCTCTGGACTCTCCCCTTGGCCCTTTTAACATTTTCAAATGGAAAGAATATACTTATATATAACTGCCTATTTATGGACACCCACATAGGACAATTTGCTCAAAGACTTCGGAACAAATGGAGAACGTGTTTAATAAGAACCGCCAAAAATAACCTGATTCAGCACACGGCCCCTGGGAGCCAAAAAAAAAAAAAAACATGGCTCAAAGACAACGATTCTGGTCCCTGTGCTGCAGAGAGCCAAAGGAAGCTCTGTGCAGTGTGCACGCCGGGCCTCCTGCCGCGGGGCCCAACCGAAACAAACAGCACATTCACTGCCTTACTCAACAAGCCCATGCTGGGCACAGTATGCACTCACAGCAGCTGGGAGTCGGGGGTGGCCTGAAACACCATCCGTTTTACAGATGAGGAAACTGAGGCCCAGAGTGGTAACCAGACCTGGCCATGGGCACTGAGGCAGTTACTGACAGTGCTGAGAGAAGCAGCCAGGCCAGAGAGCTCACTCCCCCCCTCCCGCCCCCCCATCTCAATGTCTCTCTGTCTGTCTCTCTTTCTCTTTTCATTCTCTCTCTCTCTCCATCTCTCTCCCCCTCTCCCCCTCTCCATCTCTCTCTCTCTCTCCCCCATTTCTCTCTCTGTCTCTTTCTCTCTGTCTCTCTGTCTCTCCCCTCCATCTCTCTCTGTCTGTCTTTCTCTCTCTGTCTCTCTCCATCTCTCTCTCCCCCTCCATCTCTCTCCCCCTCTCCCTCCCCTCTCTCCCCCTTTCCTATAACTCTCTCTCCATCTCTCTCCCCCCTCCATTTCTCTGTCTGTCTGTCTCTCTCTCTTTCTCTTTCTGTTCTCTCTCTCTCTCCATCTCTCTCCCCCCACTCCATCTCTCTCCCCCCTCCCTCCCCTCTCTCCCCCCTTTCCTATATCTCTCTCTCCATCTTTCCCCCTCTCCATCTCTCTCCCTTTCTCCCCCCCAATCTCTCTCTCCCCCCTCCATCTCACTCCCCCTCTCCCTCCCCTCTTTCCCCCCCTCCCCATCTCTTTCTCCCCCCCTTCCCCCGTCCTCCATCCTGCTCCGTTACATGGACAAGACAACACGTTCTTGAATACATAATGCCACAAACCACAGTCCTCAAGCAGGCAGGACGCAGAGCAAACATGGGGGGGGGGCGGGCCACTCTAATTCTACTGTGATCATCCCAACAGGTAATGGCCTGTTGAAATTCTGCCTTCCTGGATGATGGTCATTCTCTCTCACACTGACACTGCAGGGGCTCAGCAGATGGTGACCTCCTCAGCATCTTTCTCCTCTCCCCTGACCCAGCCACCCCCTGGTGCAGGCCCTCATCCCCTCACACCCAGACCATGGCAGGAGCTGCTGGGAGATGGGATCTGTCTGCCTCCAGTCTTTCCCCCTCCCCATCCAGGGCCATTCTCTATGCAGACATCAAACTGCAGGCCCAATCACGTTACCCCCCATTCCCATCGCCAGTGGCTCCCTGTGGCCTCCAGGGACAGGTACAACATGCTCAGCCTGGTTTTGACCAAAGCTCTCCTGCCTTTCCAGGCTTCTCCCATCTTACTGCCCTACAGGTCCTCTTCAGTCCGGGGCCTCCTTGCCATCCCTCACACCAAGTACACCTGGATCAGCAGAGGACACACAACACCAACACCTTGATCTCAGCCATCCTTCTGGGTCTTCTCTGGCCATCCCCCAGGTCTGGCACACTCTCCCTTCTCACCTCCACTTTCTGTCCTCCTTGGCCTCTTTCAAGGCCCAGCTAAAATCCCACTTTCTGAAAGATGGCCTTTTGCATCCCCCTTCCACCTGAGGTTATCTCCAGTCTACCCCATCTCCATCGTGTTCATACGTGTTGTTTGCATACTGTCTCCACCCCCACCACTGGACTCTGAGCTCCGTGAAAGGGGGATTTTTTTTGCCTTTCTAGGTATCACCAGTGCTTACTTAGTGCATTGTCTAGAACACAGTAGGTGCTTAATAAATACTTGCTGTCTCAGAGACTTGCTGACAGCAGACGTCAATAAAAGCATGCTGAACAGACAGAGCAACGAACAGACGAATGAACAGACGAACAGAGAGATGGACAATGAATGGTCATCCAAATGGAACAAAAAGCGATAGGGCATTTTTAATCATGGCTTTCACTTGGTTTTGGTCTGTTTTGTTCAAACAAAAATCACCAATTCTTTCCCCCGCCCAGCCTGGGTCTCCCTCTTCACCCAGGCTGACAATGGGGCAGGCACCCACCAGCCGTGGAGCTCCTCAAGCAGCTCCATGGCCGCCCGCTCGTGGGGCTCGCCATCTTGGTGCCAGTCTGAGGGGGGATGCCTGAAGAGCTTAGCTGTCCTGCCTGTAGATGATTTCCCAGCCTCCCCCTCCCGCTAGCTGGGATGACAGGGACACAGCACAAGCATCCATCCCTTGGAAAAACACAACCAGGTGAGGGAGATGAGGCTCACCCCATCCATTGAGACACAAGTCTGAGCGTGGCGAATGCAGAGGAAGAAAGCTCGGGTCACAGCAATTGAGGGAGGGGTCACTTCCAGGCTGGCATAGGGGGATGACTCAAGTTGGGGCCTGGCCGGGAGCGATTCTAGAAGAGGATAGGCTTCCATATTTCCCTTCTCGGGCAGCTGTGTGAG